GTCTCCCTCAGGTTCCCAGACTTGTCATTGTATTGTCGTGTGTTATCCGTGGAGGTCTTTACCTGTCTGTCTTTTGACAATTAAACCCAGTTTACCTGAAGTCCTGGCTTGCTCTCCTGCTTCCCTGTTCGCCTCCTTCGCCAAACGTGACAGGTGTCTATATCATTTATGTAAATTAGCCTAGTACATCATCAGTTTTCTATTTCAGGATGACCAATCGCCACAGAGAAATTTCAGTTCTCCCACTTACATGGAGGCTCAGCTACGGAAGAGGATTAGGGCCACCATGAAAATATTATTTGAATTCTGACTTTAATGTCAGAATTCTGACTTTTTTCTCAGAATTCTGAGTTTAGAAAAAATGTCAGAATTCAATGACAATTTAAATTCTAATTTAAATAAACATTTAAATAGTATATGTATAACTAATCGTTTACAATGCAATTTGAATTATGATTAAATTATGCATTTAAATGGTTATTTTAAATTATAATTTGAATGACATATTCATTTATTGAATATTGTCACAAAACACCCTCCATACATTTCGCCAAGCCAAGTTAATGTAAAGCTCAGTCTCTGTGAGCCATAGAAAGGTATCGAAAAAGTGATGTGACTGATCTTTTAACAAAGAACAGATACCATGTCATTGTTAAATGGCAAAGATTGTTTCTCCTAAAGCAGCCCTAAATTACCTAAATTTTGTTAAGGTTTTCATGTCAGAGGTCTGTGATGTATATCTGTAATATTTATAAAAGAAAAGCACATAACTAACAGTAACTGGTGTGTCCATGAGACTGAGTGCTGACAAGTCTAACTGAAGACACCTTTGAACTGTAAGATTTATTTATTCACCTCGAATTAAATTCTAATAGCGGCGCCTTAACAGCACCCTGCCGGCATAAGTGGCTTAACTCCACAATAAAGATAAATATTTTGATTAATTAATTATAACATTCTGTAGGAGTATTAACATGATTTAAGGAAGCCAACGTTAAGTTGCGGATACAGGAGTCGCCGTGTGTCCCCTGTTATATGAGAGCAGCTGAAAATGACTGGTCAGAGTCCACAGTCCAGTGGAGACTGTGAGGGAGCGCTGATCATCTCTGATTAACTTCATGTCCGGTGGAGACTGTGAGGGAACGCTCATCCTCTCTGATCAACTTCATGTCCGGTGGAGACTGTGAGGGAACGCTCATCCTCTCTGATTAACTTCGTGTCTGGTGGAGACTGTGAGGGAACGCTCATTCTCTCTGATTGATGACTTTCTAAAATATAATCACCTTAAAGTAAAGGCATATGGAAAGCTTTCGCAACACATTGCATTACACTTGCTCTCTCAAATGTGACATTATTATTATTATTATTATTATTATTATTATTATTCTCTCAATTGACGTCTTACTCTGATGCTTAGTTCTGAGGGATGGCTTGTTCTAGTAAGGTTCTGGGTGCTGTGATGAACCTTCCACTTCCTGATGATGGATCTAACAGTGCTTAACCGGACATTCAAACTCTTCTATTTTTTTGTAGCCATTTCCTGCTTTGTGCATTTCAATCAATTTGTTTCGCAGTAGAATGCTCCTTTGTCTTCATTTTTGCAGTGATTGTCCAACAAAGACAATGGCCCTTCGAAAGATGCAGAGAGAAACATCAGGACTAATCTCCAGTTCCTAATTACCTTTAATTATAGTCTAATAACTGTCACCTTTGTGTTGTTTGTGATTAATCTGTCATTTGTGTAAACCTGGAGCTTCCAAAGCACAGGACACTGAATACTTGTGCAAACAGCATGTACCATATTTTCATCTTTTTAACGTTAGTAGACAACTGACGTATTTTGGCGTTTAAAACAATGCCGAAGCAAAATAATTCTCACCATAGATCTTAAGAAAATTGTGTGCGTGTATGTATGTATGTATGTATGTGTGTGTGTGTGTATATATATATATATATATATATATATATATATATATAAAAAATTATACTGTTGACAATCATCATGACTTTCAAGAGGGTTGAATACTTTTGAAAGCCAGCATATGCTGTGTTTTAAGTAATGGAAAGAACAATCCGGCATAAGAATTTTATTGTATTACCTGAATGTACGGCAATAGAAATGTAAACATGCATATTTGTGACATCCTTGGTAGGGGCCCATCTTCCAGTGCCCATCTTCCAGTGCCCTTCCTACTCTTACAGTCTCTGTTCTAAGATGCTGTGGCTGTACATCCACATACACGGCTCACAGTTTGGAAGAAACTAAAGAGAGTGATGTAAAATCTTTTGTATATAAAACATGTGACTGGCAGGAGGCAACAAGAACTCAAGCAGCTACAAAGTCTTTTTGATTTCCTAAGTATTTTACAATATAATGCAATTTTTATAGAAAACAATAAATGATTTGAAATGAGTCAGTAATGTGCCACTGATTTCAGAATTACAATAAACTTTATTACAGGAACCTGATAAATGCTGTTATGCACAAATGTCAAATTGATGAGAGACATTCAAAGCATTGGAAATTAATTGAAATATACAGAGTAACAGAGTATTTTATTGTAACTTAATATTCGACCCCCCCCCAAAAAAAAAACTCTCCCCAGAGAGTCACTGGCTGCTGACAGATAGGTAGCCAATCCAGTGGTGGCCTCAGGGAGGGATGCAGTGCCCTATAAGGTGCCCTAACAATGCTCTAAACGGCCCATATGGGTACCCTTCTGATGGAAAATGGTGCTGTTATGAAGTGCCCTTCTAGAGGACAGAATGTGATGCAGTGTCCTATAAGGTGCCGTTACAATGGTCTAAAGCAGATTAAATGATGTACCTTCTAGGTGTTCCTTTGTGTAAGATAATGTGATATCTAAGTTGCATCTGTAGTCGAGAAGCATCTGTTGAATAATCGTAATCAGGGATGAAAACTACTTCGCCATACATAGCAAGCTATTGTACTAGTCGGGGGGGGGGGGGGTGCGGCTGTAATCTGAGTTGTATTTAGGGGGGGGGGGGGGGGCAGCCTTTTTAGTTTTGTGCCCCTGCCCTTCCAACAGCCTGAACCCACCATTGAGCCAAACTTACAATATCCCACGCATTACTAGTAATGTAATTTCTAAGTTCTGCAAAGAACTCACTGCCACACTTCACTGCAAACATTTCCTCAACCTCGTTTCTAGCGGTTGTAAACCTCTGCAGTTTCGTAGAACTGTTTTTAATCCATTTTACCTTTGCCAAATCATCCACATAAGCATCACACTGATTCATGTTCAGAATTATGATGCTCGCTCTGTCTTTCGACTCCTGGCTTCCATCCTGCAGGAACCCTAGCAGAGCTTTTCTCAGTTCTCCAATGTATATACCATACACCAGTGCATTAGCATTGATGTACAACTCATCAGTTCCAAAATGTGCCACCATCTCTTTCATGATAGCATCTTGAGTGGCTTTTATCAGAGGGCAGATTAAATCGGGAGTAGTCTGGCCTGGTATATTCAGATACCTTTTCACAAGTTTAACATGAAATTTAATGACATTGTTGTTGATCACATGCTCACCCCTTTTAGACCTTATACCAGTGTCTACAAGAAGCTCCTGGAACTTGTAGTTTTGATTTATAAGATGAATCTTCTGCAGTGTCTCGTTTCGGATTGCCTCCATTTTTTTTTGATCTTTCGCTGATGGTGGTTGCTGTGACTGTTTCCCTGATTGTTTCCCTTTGTCTTGTTTGCCAGCTTGTATGAAACCAAGAAGGTCGCTCAATACAACAGCTGTAAAAGCAAATCATTGTTTAGGTGAGTTACCAGTAAGAGAATCTGACACCTAACGGTTCCCAGTTGCAGTAGAAGACAGTGTCGGGAGAGTCCTGTGGATCATAAGCAGATACCTAAAACAGCGGATATCTGTCACATTAGCACCCAAAAATGACTGTTTTCCCAAGATTTTAGCATGGTTCCTAATTATATCACCAATTTTATACATGTTCGATATCAATTTTATTCCTGTTGGATACTTATCATATGTGCCAATTTTGACCTAGTCTTTAATCATATATCATTTGCAATGTGTCTGTATTTTTCATTGTCATTCTGAAACCCTAATTTTTCATGGATATCTTTCATATGTTAAAGGGAATATCCTCGGGCAAATGTAATAACTCATAAGTATTGAATAAAAAAGATCATGCCCATGAAAACTTCAAGTGTCTATAATTTAAAATGATAAAAGGTAACATATGAATTGTTTGAACTACTGTATGCAGGTATATACACTCACCTAAAGGATTATTAGGAACACCTGTTCAATTTCTCATTAATGCAATTATCTAATCAACCAATCACATGGCAGTT